TCCGCCCATCCAGGGGCCGTGAGGCCTCGCTGCTCGGCAGGCTTGGGGTATGTTTGGCTTCGCTCCACCGCTTGGAGCCTAGTATGCAAATTAACTGCCATCTTTGTTGGCGGTTAATTTGCATACCGCCCTGATTAGCCAATGGGAAGCATAGAGAAGGTACGGTCAATTACCCTTTTTGTCTTTTATTAGATAGGAGATTATATATATATATATACACATATACATATACAGAGAGAGAGAGAGAATAAAATTTGTCCCCAGGACTTGTTCCCTTCGGATGTGGTAAGGTGACAGAGGGAGGCAGCTGCCTTTGAAGGAGAAGAGGGTAACCATGCCATGCAGGGCCACACAGGGAAACACCAGTGTGGGCCCACAGGTGGACTCAGGAGCCCAGAGAGCGTGGCCCAGAGTCCCGACTGGGGCTTTCACTGGAGGGAGAGGGTGAGTTTCGTGTGGCATCGTGGGGAGGGAGGGCAGGCCCTCGCTGTCCAGGACCCGGCTTGGTGTCTGAGGTGCGATGATGAACTGGTGGGCGCGGGCTCTGGATGGATTGATTTGCAATCAAAGGTGTTCACAGGGGAGTCTTAGCCAGCTCCAGGGACTGGTGGGCCATGGGCTTGGGGCAGTCTCTCCAGCACCAAGGCCCCAAGAGTCAAGGATATAGAAAACAAGCAGATACAGTAGAGTCGGGCAGACAGACGGTGCGGGGAGGAGGGAACATTTCTGCCTGTCTGGAGATGCAAGCCAGACTGTGTTTAAGAGAAAGGACAATAGGTGTTTTGTTGAAGAGAAGAAAGAAGGGGAAAACCTGATGCTACTGTGGACGGGGCCATCCCCGGGAGACGGCTGCCCAGACCTCGGGCCCTGCCTGGCTCCCTTCTCTCCTTTCAGCCGGAGAGAGAAATGACCTTCATTTCCCAGGAGAAGGGGGAATAATGCACCCCCCCCCGCCGCCCTCCCTCCGCCTGTGGCCCTGCCTCCTGTTTCCAGGGCCTGTGGGCACGAGCGTCTCCCTTTATGACAATCATTTCCGTGCGGCTGCCTCGCTTTATTGATGAAGACAAACCCTGGGTACACATTTCAGAACCATCTGCAAATCTGTTTAAAATTTTTTTTAAAAACTATGTCTTTATTGATTTCAGAGAGGAAGGAGAGAGTGAGAGGGAGGGAGAAACATCCATGATGAGAGAGAATCATCGATTGGATGCCTCCTGCACCCCCCACACTGGGGGTCCAGCCTGCAACCCAGGCATGTGCCCTGACCGGGAATTGAACCGTGACCTCCTGGTTCAGAGGTCGATGCTCAACCACTGAGCCACGCGGCCGGGCCAAACCTCTTCTCTGAGGTCTGCCCCGCCCCCCACACACAAGGATGACATTTAGAGCCCACTCGGATAATCTGAGATCATCCCCCGTGCGAGAGGCTTAACTTAATCACACCCGCAAAGTCCCTTCACCCGGAGCCACACTCACAGGCCCAGCGGGCCGGCGGGCCACACTCCGGTCACCCCCCTCACAGCTTCCACGTCACTGTCACACGTTTTAATTCCCTGGGTATATTGCAAGCCCCACACCACACCATTGCTCCGGTTGTCCAGGCCGCTCCTCGCGAGGCTTCCCCTTCACCCTCCCTCCTGCCTCCGGCCTGGTAGCCGTCTCTTCCCGGAAGGGCACGTCTCCTCCACATCTCCGCATGGCGGATGTTCTCAGAGTTTGTTTCTCTGAAATGTCTATTGGACCACCTTCTTCTTCTTCTTCTTCTTCTTCTTCTTCTTCTTCTTCTTCTTCTTCTTCTTTTTACAGAATTTCTGTGAGTTTATTTGAGCCATAGACCTTCATTTTTTTAAAAAAAAAATCCTCACCCCAGGATATTTTTCCATTGATTTTTAGAGAGAATGGAAGAGAGTGGGAGAGACAGAGAGAAATATCGATGTGAGAGAAACACATCGATTGGGTGCCTCCTGCACCAGGGCCTGGGCCGGGGAGGAGCCTGCAACCGAGGTACATGCCCTTGACCGGAATCGAACCCGGGACCCTTCAGTCCGCAGGCCGACGCTCTGTCCACTGAGCCACACCCGCCAGGGTGAGCTTCATTTTTAAGCACATTTTTTTGCTGGATTTAGAATTCCAGGTTTGCGGTCACTTACTCTCAGGATGTGGAGGTTCTCCTTTCGAGGCCGGAGGTGTCAGCACCCAGGGCTGTGCCCGATGCAGGTGGCAGGCCTTCTGTCCATCGGGCAGGCCTTCTGTCCGGCTGCACCAGCAGCCCTGTCTGTCTGTCTGTCCGTCTCCCGCTTTATCACCACGACCTCACAGCACTTCTTGGTTCTGCAGTTGACGTATCCATCGCTTTTAGGAAATCATCAGCTCCTATCTCTTAAAATACGGTCGTCACCAGCCTGCGGGGCTGCAGGGTGGGGCCACGCTGCCTGGAAGGGGCCGACTGGCTGCCGGGTGGTGTGAGGCTGTACGACCCCCTCAGGGATGTGCAGTGTGAAGTGCGAACATCCCATGGGACTCCCTCCCTCACCTGCAGGTCGGGTCACCCCACTGCTCCTAGAAATGTCACCTGAGCCCGGCCCACATGGCTCAGCGGTTGAATGTCCACCTAGGAGCCAGGAGTTCACAGTGCCATTCCCGGTCAGGGCACAGGCCCGGATTGCGGGCTCGGTCCCCAGTGTGGGGCGTGCAGGAGGCAGCCGATCAATGATTCCTTCTCATCATGGATGTTTCTCTCTCCCTCTCTCCCTTCCTCTCTGAAATCAATAAAAATATATATTTTAAAAATTAAAAAAAAGAGAAAGAAATGTCACTTGGCTTCCCAGAGGCAGTTTGTCCGGGAGGGTGCCCGTGCTTTACAACAGCCCCAATTTCAGAAAATGCCCCCCAAACCCGGGTCTGCTCCTCCCACACATCCAACCCGTCGGCTGGTCCTGGGGACCCACGGTGCCCCCTCTCCCTCCGCCCCCCAGCAAGACGC